ATTACAATATATATTTTTGAAAGCATTCTTACTTTACAGCATTTTTTCACACCTGCCTAAAACTTTTGCACGGTACTGTAGCTGACTTCAAGTTCTGTCTGAAAGCAGGGAGGAATATCCGTGTGGGTGTTTTAGCTCAGCTCTCAATAGCTAGCCAGGTAAAGATGCATGAAATGCTTAATTAGCTTACTTAGTTATTTTTTTTACTATACTCATAATAAAGTATTTTCACCTTTTTAAGTACTCTTTATAGATGTGTGAGAATTGGCATAAAGAAATTCCATTTCCAAGGTCAAAGCCTGACATGCTGTTTTAGCTGCAGGTAGTTTTTGAATCATCCAACCATTTTGACAATAACTTTCTAATACAGACTCATGGATGTGAAATGATCCTATCGATCTTTTATGGAATTAGAACACCAGTACAATTGATAACTTATTATTGAAAAACCGGTATCCAATTTAGTAGCCATAGGTCGTCTCTTCCTTTAAAGTTCCATGGGTTTAATGTGGTCTTACACCTGATATTCTGATTATTTTATTTGACAGAATATTACCTGTTGGTCTTACAACTGATATTTTGATTATTTGACAAAATACGATCTGTAATCTTAATCCACAGATGATATGCGACAGTAGGTATAAGAATAACACAAGACATTTCACCTAAAACATTTAGTTATGTGTGCATACTTCCGAAAATCCATCTTACAAATATTTGACGTTATTGATGGCATTTTTGCATACAGAAGTCCAGGTGTTTTATATTAAAGGTCATTATGTTTTTCTTCTTCATTGGTTACTTTTGTATCCTTTTATTCTTTCCCTCCTGTATTTGGGATATAAACCCTAAATGTTTTATTATTTTTATTGTTGTTGTTAATTTCTTAAGTTTTACAGAAAGGAATGAAAAAAATAGAAAATAATGTAATTGTAATATAAATGTTAACATTGTAATATAAATGTTAGAAATAAAAAAAAAATCAAGTTTAAACTGACATGACAAGGAAAAAAATATTACCTGTTTTCAGTAGAGTTTGTGTTTGTATCTGGCTATAGATTGGAGTAGCTTTTTATGAAATGCTTCTGGAGGTGGATCAGTGCAATACACATCTCAACTACATGGATCCCATCTGTGATTTTCTCTATCACGTGAAGTATATGTTTACTGGAGACAGTGTGAAGGACCAAGTAAGTGAACAGTAGTTCTCACTAGAAATAAGCACTCTGCAGTAGAATTCAGTTTATGCGCTGCTTTCCATCTGAGGTCAGCAAATGAAGATTCCACTGTAGAAGACCCATGCTGTGACTAGGAAGAAACGAACTGAACCCTTTTTTCGTCTCTTCAGGCTTTATGCAGAAAAAAATTTAGACATTTTGAATCAAGTATGAAGCATTTTAATGTCATTATCTGTTTTAAGGTTTTTGTTTTTTAATATCCTGTCCTTTTAACGTTGGTAGACCATTTTACTTAGGATTAGTATTAATGACTTTCTGGAGTCTCGCTGCTACCGTCTTTGGTGTATTGCCATTTAAACTTTGGTGTATTGCTACCATCTTTAGAGTAGAAATCAGCTTAAAGTGGAAATGAGATGGGACTGCTGGCTGTTTGAGAACTGATGTCAAAAACAAATGACCTAGGGAATAAGTGCATGATGTGTGCAAAGGTGGTTTTGGAGGTGGGGAGGAAGTGTGTACTCCATAATTTGTTAGACGTTCTTAATCTTTGTTTCTCTATCCTCATTTTAAATACAGAATTGTAGCCCTGGGGTTTTATATTTGGCTATTACTGCCATCCTGAAGCCTTAGAAATCTAATAAATAACTAAAACTCTGAGACTTCAAGGGCAAGCAGGATAAAAACCAAACTTACGCTAATAACTGCATAATTTATTGTGACATTTCTTTCACCTTTCTTTTTATTAAAGGTTGAGAAAATTATCTGCAACTTGAGGCCAGCTTTGAAACTTCGTCTGCGTTTCATACACATCAGCAAAATGGAGGCAGCTTCTGTTCCTCAGCAGTCGATCAGCAACATTTCTCCAGCACCTCAGCCCAGTCAGGTCCCAGTAAATGTTGCTTTGCCAGTGTCACAGTAGAATAAAGGAAGATGATCTGGGGACTTTTAATTTTACCCAGGATGAAACACCACTCAGTAATACCTGCAGAAAAATGCCCTTTATATTCTTCCTGATCATATATTTGCTATCTTTTTCCTGCTCAAAGGAACTCTAAGCAAAAGGGGCTCTGAGGATTATAGAAAGAGCAAATTGTTTAAATAACAGTTCTGCTCATTTCTGCTTGTTTTTCTTAATGACCATTTAATTATTTTTCTCGTCACCATTAACCACATTAGAAAATAGGGCATTGGTTTTATAGCCACTTTTAGAAAATGACATGACAGTCAAAAACAAAGGCTGTGATCCTCAATTTGATACAGAATGTAATCAACTAAAAATGAAGAATTATGAAACCAGAATTTGTGGTTGCTGGCTGTGCCTTCACCATCAATGCTGCAGAAAATAAGGTAATAAAAGTATTAATTCAAACAGTAAGTAATAAATTCAGTTCATTCAGCAGTCACTTGACTTACGAATTGTAATTATGTTTTAAAATCTGTATATTTCTGCAATTATGTGAGCTTACTTAAGTTTCTAGTGTTTGTATTAAGTATACTTTGTTTTAGACTTGTATTTATATTTCTTTGGTTGAATTTTCTATTTTACTGAGGTCTTAATATAGGCATATGTTTTATAGGGGGAGTTATGATTTGACAGCCATTAAGATTTGTAAAATATTGCTGATGTTGGATAGAATTTGAAAAAAAGGATATAATAAATAGTTTTTACAACTGATTAAATATTTTCATTAGAATTATTTAATATCAATGCTCCTTATTTTAGTTTGCCAAATGCTGCAAAATTATATTTCCCCAAACTAGTAACTGGAATACACAAATTCAGAAGGTATTTTTTTCTAAAATCTTTTTTTCTAAAATCTCACTTCCTATGGAACATAAAGGATGGGTATTTTTCTCCCCACCACATTGACATTTTTCTAAATGTATGTAATAGGAAAATGCCTCTAAGCTCATATTGTATTTTATACTATATTCTTAGAGTGAATGCTAAATAGTTGTACTCAATCACCATCTGTAGCACAGTGAAGAATAAAGAATTACAAGCCTAAACCACCTATCCACTTAACTAGCTATCTTAAAAATGAACTGATCTATTTAGTCTCCTGTATCAGGGGACACAGCAGTAGGAGATCCTTCTACGTGAAGCTCCGAAACATGACAAGAGCATTGCTACAGCTGAGCTGGTTGTGGTGTTCACTTCCTCTAGCGCCTTGCCACAAGCTAGGTTGGTCTCCATTATATCCACAGCTGATAGCAACCCTGTAAAAATAAAGGCCAACTTCATTCTAACAGTGCTAATCAAACAACAATGTTATTATTATTATAAAATAAAGGGGGAAATAAATAAATAATAATTTTAAAAAAAACATTCGGAACTGATGAAAGCATTACCAGACATATTTAATTTTGATTCCTGCATCGCGATGGATTGGAGTTGGTGGCCGAAACAGCTCCTTCCAACTTGTAATTCTGTGACATGAAATCTTAGGGTCACAAAGAGTATAACTTCAGTGCTAATGAATGGGCTAAATTAGCACCCCATTTTAGTCTGTTCCAGAAAAGCTTCTGTGCACTAAGAAAAGTTCTTACTGGACAGAACTTTTCTCTCAATTATCTTTATTTATTCTTGTGTTTTGTTCCGTTGAACTGAAAATCTCCTGCCACTAAGACTTTTCTTGGTGCTTAAAAAAATAAATATTTAAGGACACATGTACTTAAAATAATACATACCGTATTTTTCCGACTATAAGACGCCCCCCATTTTTCCAACCCAAAATTAAGAAATCAATATTTTAAAGATAAAGCAGA